GGCAGGAAATGTATATGGGAAGGATTATGTGCAAATTCCCTGTTTCCCTCATTTTCCTATGTCAGCAGCTATATATTTTAATAATCAGGATAGGAAGTAAGGGGAACACTGATATTTTGCCACTGGCTGAACTGAATTGCTTGGAAGATCCCAGGACTGATACTTCGAAAACATAAAATTTTGGCACATACGCTGTGAGTGTTTGTGAGAAAGGCAGAGTCTGTTATGGCTCAGCCTCTTGGAGTATGTGAGATTTCAGAAAAAAAGTACTAGAAGGACCTGAATTAAAAACGAAAACAAAATAAAATAATCCCAAACCAACTCCCAGCAATAAAATACAGAAATAAACATAAGCATTGTGACAAAGATAAATGAAGTATCCTGAAGGTTGTATTCATTATATAGGAGTATTTATGGCTGCTTCTGTTCCTCCAGATGTATTAACATCTATAAGAAACGTATAATTGTTACAAATTTAGCTAAATAAAAGAGTATTACCAGTGGCCAGCATCACCACTTACACACACACATTCAAAGTTCAGCATAGGAAAGAATTTATACTCGCAACTAAGTAGTTTATATTCTTTATGCTCGAAACCAATCTAGTTTATTTAGTTTAAGTAAATTTTAATTACTGGCAAGTAAACAAGAAAGTCTGCTCTGGCCCAAATTGCCCTCTAAAGGGAGCATATCACTGTGTGTGAAATGCAGACTTGAATCCAGGCTGCCTGCAGCCCCACTTACAGATACTGCAATGACTAGTCCATGACCCATCTCTCAGAAGACTCTTGCAGCATTATGCATGAAGAGCTAGTTGAGAGGTGTTTCCATGGTATTGAAGAAGAGACAGAGTTGAAGTGGAAAAACGTCCTTTTTAACAATCCTCTTTTGTCAATGCCTTTAACACCTAAAGTGGGTTTCACCTTTACTTAGAATTTTATCCAAAATGCATAAAGAGTTTGCCTTGATTTATATCAAGACAGTTGGAAGCTGGCTACTTCACCCAGGTTTGGATTTATTTTAGTTTTCCCAGTACTTGAAAGCAGCTTCTGATTTTCTCAGAGCCTTTAAAGTCATAAGCATTTATACTTCTTTATATACAAATATGCTGCAGGCTTTAGTAACCTACCTTCTTGCTATCGCTATTCCTGTTACGAGGGCGGTTTGGCTCTTGGATTTTTAAAAATAACTTTTAAATAAGTAAAATAACCAAAGGACTAAGACAAATGTAATAGATTTTCAGTCAATATGAAAGGATGGAATCAGGTTAATTTTTGGTATGTTTCAGAGGTAAATGTAGTTCTGAACACTGCTCTTTTTGCAATACATATAAAACTGGCATAAAAGCACCTCATAACATTATTTATAAATTGTGTTGGTGTTTCAAACCTCTGTGTTTTATATATACATGCTTAAAAAGGGTTTAAAGACAGTTGAATGCTGGCTGGCCTCTTATCTGTTGCACTTCCTCCCTCCACTCCACTTTCATTCTCCCCAGTTCTCACACCTGTCATTATAAAATATTATATCCCCAAAAGAAAATAACTTTCTAAATTGGATAACATTCTCCTAAAGAGGAGAAAAATTGTGAACCGAAAAACACCTACGAATTAGCAGTGGTTTAGACAGCAGGGATAATTAATCATATCTTGACTAATACTGTCAGGAAAGAACATGTAGTGATTTCATTCTTGCTGCTGAAAAAAGTTAAATATTAAACAGATATTGAAATGCGTGTACATTTGAATGCCCTTTTTTTAACTATGTTGGTGAATTGTCTCACTGTATGTGTGTTTCCTTTCAGTCTCACTAACGTTCTTTATGCCAAATGTCAAAGTGACGTTTTCCATTGTTGCATGATGCTATCATGACTGACAACTTTAAACAAAGTATATGATAATAAGACTGTGTGACCACATGGATTTTTTTCATGCTACAGCTACTCAGAAACTTGCCTTCATGCAGGTTGTGTGTGTCTTGTTCATTCTCAGCACTGTCAAGTTCAATTGTAGTCAGAGCTTCTTGAGTGTAGGTTGCACACTCCTCCCGCCTAGACGAAAGAGACCAAGTGTTTTAAATACTTTATGCTAATTTTTACCACTCAGCAAAATTTCCGCAATATGAGAATATTTTCTGTTGCCTTAGACAATATTTATTAGATACTTTTAGTTTGGGTAAATATAGTTAACATAACAAATTGAGACCAAAATAAGTTCAATAATGAAGATGCTGCCTACTTACATTGCTCACAAAAATATTTTAGCACATGGAAGATAAGTATATTCATCTTCCTTATGTAGACAGATAGAAAAAAACTATGCAAAAAGATCATTTCTTTTTAAATGGCTTGAAGAATATTCTTAATCTTTTCTGAGGTTGACCTTTCACTGTACATTTGAAAATACTGGTTCACCCCTACTATACACTGTTGTGAAAGCATAATAAATTTATGTATATATATATATATATATTATTTATATATATCTATAAAAGATGAGCCACAATGAATGGCATATTTTAAAAGAAAAGTAATAATCCAGGTCACCGTAGAAACAGTAGTAGATACAATTGGTTTTAATGCATTTATCAGCAGCGACAGAAAGTGTTATCTGATAAATTTAGAAAATATTAGAAAGATCAAGGAGTTAAAAACAAATCAAATTCAGAGCAGTTAAGATTATATTTTAAAGAAAGCAAAGGAAGATCTAGCTGGTTTGTTGTTCTTTTTTTTTTTTTTTTTTTTTTTTCACTTTCCACAAAAAGGAACTCTAACCAGTATCATTCTGGTGATAAGTATTATGAAATAAGTATGTGCTGTGCAGCAGAGCTGTGTGGTTATTCTAAATGTTCAGGAGCACCTAACAGTAAACACAAACAGTGGCTTTAAAGATATTTCTGTACTGGAGTGTACTTTGATGGTAAGAAGCTGTAACATGCTAAATTCTGAGGTTTCTGTGCAACAGAAACCATACTGTATAGAGACACTCCACCTACAGCACTGTGGTCAAAAAGTTGATTGAAAGGCATTTTAGATGCAGAAAAATATGTTGAGTTAGTACATTTTATTTTCTGTGTGTTTAGCTTTTTCTAAAACATGTGCTTATATATATATATATATATATATATATGTTTCAACAAACGCATTGCAATTTTTTGCAATCAGAGAAAACATTAAAGGAGTATTTGAGAGACTAGGGTTTTTTCCTGAATTTGAATGAAGTTTTGTTACCTATCTCATTATTCATTCCAAATATCGAAAGCCATTGAGACAGACAAAATTTAGAAAGAATTTACTATCAATTATGCATACTTGAGACCAGTGCTGTGGAAAGTGTGTTTTTAAAATTCTTGAATAATTGTTTTTAAAGGCAATCCATCTTTTCTTAACAGTATGTTGACAGAGGCTAAAAAGATTGAAATGAAAAGAGGAGTAGCATTCAATATATATTTGGGAGAATAAAAGTATTGGCACAGAGCCTCCTCATCTTTCTGAGATGGAATAGGGATTAGCAATATTTAAAGGTCACGTTTTCCACGGCCAGATGTGCTGGGATTTTAAGGTAGTCTGGGGTTGCAGTTAGCATTAACTTGCATTAGGAATATGACAAGATAAAACAGCATCTGTATGAGCCACGTACAGATGAATCTTCTTGCCCCAGCACTGAAGTGCCGAGGTGCTGCTGCTTATGGGTATTAAGGAATGGCAGCAACAAGTGCAGGATTAGGCAGACCTTTAAACTTGGTTGCGTGCCTGTCCTTAACATATCAGATATCTTGACTACATGTTACATTTCATTAATAATAGAGTCAGCAAAACTGTATGTGCGTCTTAAAAACTCCTGCAACTGAAAGTTATTAGAGAAGAAAACAGATGTTAAAAAAAAAAAAAATCACAGTTGTATACACTTAATGGAAATTGCGTATCTGAAAAAACTGAAGAAGGTGAAAAATTCAATCATGCAATTAGCTTAAACAGCTCATGGTAGTTTCTTATTCTGAGTCACATGTCTTACTGGAACTTGTAAGCTAGTGCAGAAAAGCAGAGAAAAAACAAAAACAAACAAAAAAAAAAAAACCAAAACACATTTATTTGATGTGCACATCTTTCATTGTCAAAACAGTCCCTGTGGAAAATTATGGTTTTGTACAGAGTAAAGATATTTTTCATGCAGCCTAGGCTGTGCAGTATGTCAGGACATTAGCTGGCCTCCTGAGAACTTAACAGCACATCCCTATTTTTACTATATAATGTGGCCCGAAGTCCTTTGTACTAAAAAATTCCAGTTTGCATTTCTAAGCATGTCATTTGAAATAAAATAAAGTATGCTACTTCTGAGTTTAGAAAAAGACAAGTTTCAAAGGTGGTATATGTTGCTGGTCAGCTATTGTTTGTGCTTTATAATTCTCATTTCTCAAAAAGTGTTTGAATTTTTAACACTAGATATTTCTTCAGAACCATTGTGAGTGTGTTTATATGAACAATGTACCTCTTTTGCACAACTTAGATGCTGTATGAAATAATCGCTAAAAATCTAGCACAAGTTGGGGCATGGAATCAAGTCAATCACTGTTTAACACGGAATCATAGCCAATCACTAATAAAAATAAGAATTGGCTGCACATGTTCAAACTATTTACGGCTGAAATTCTGAGGTGCAGTTTGAAAATATTGGTGGGAAGGATGTATGCAGTATAAAAATATATTAAACAGTTACAGAGAAAGATGAAGTATCAACACGTCATAGTGCTACTTAATGAAAATGTCCCATGCTCTTTACCTGCACCTCTAGTTTTGCGCAGTGAGAATTAGGTGTATTTTCTCACTTGCGTAAGACATACATATAGTCTATTTTGGGGCTATATTTATATTTATGCATTTGCCTTCTGCATGCGTTCAATTCAAAGGCTAGAGCAGTCACACATCATATTTCCAAAAGAAAGAAGGAGGACTACAAAGAGCAGCTTGGGGATTTTTGACGGGTCTTTTTTTCTTTTTCCAGGTGACATTTACAAAGAGGAAATTTGGGTTAATGAAGAAGGCTTATGAGCTGAGTGTTCTGTGTGACTGTGAGATTGCTCTGATCATCTTCAACAGCACCAACAAACTGTTCCAGTATGCCAGCACCGATATGGACAAAGTGTTGCTGAAATATACCGAGTACAATGAGCCGCATGAGAGTAGAACGAATTCGGATATTGTTGAGGTAAGATTTTGTGTTCTGAGAGGATTTTTTTTTTTTTTTTACTTTGCTCTGAGACAGAGGCACTCAAAGCGAGAGGCCTGATCACCTTTCTTGAGAGTTGTAGAACATACCCTGGAGGTGATACAGTGTCAGGAGAGCAGAACAGGGACCACGTAGGTTTGGGGCTGGAGATGGCGCAGCAGAGACTGGAGGGAATCCATGTGTGAGCTCATAGTTTTATCCTGCTGAGTTTCATATGCTGAGCAGAAACTCCTGCAATGGGATCTCGGGCTCTCTGTCATCCAGCTTTCCGTATCGCTTTGTCCCTTTGTCCTGTTAGTCCTCTCCACACCTTGACCACTACCTCCCAGCTGAACCTCGGCTTGTCTCCTAGTCATTCCTGGTGACCCGGTCTCCAGCAAACACTCTGTGCCTTGGCTCCTTGCTCCAAAAGTCATAATGTCCTCTGTCCAGAAGGAACTGAAAAATACATGTAAAAGATGTGGAGGAAAAGGATTTTAAATTACTACTCTAAGGCATACCGCTGACTTCTTTAGCTTTTAGATTATTTACAGCGGAAGGAGGTTTAATAAAATTCAAGACAAGTTTACTTACAAGCTGCACAATAATAAATGAGTCAGCTACCTCACACAGAATGCTGTTACCATAATACAGTAATAACAGCATCAAAGCAGTATTATCAGAATGCTAGTAATTATTTTTAAACCCTTGTAATTATTTAAAAAAAAAAAAACACTGTTTAGGTCAAGTTTTATTTACAATAACTGAAAATTATTAAATAAATTTAAGATTTTCGATTTTAAGCTTCTAATATTTGCAGAAAAGTCAGTTTATTTTATAATCACATCAGGATTCAAGCCATGCAAAATAAATGAAGCTTTCATTTTTTTTTGTGATAGCAAAGCAAGTGATGTCTAAAGAATTAGTTACATGATTTACGCAACTCCTGTTTTCAAAACACATAAGTGATTAGGTATCTAATGGTATAATTCTAAAAAGCATTAGATGGACGAGGTCGTGTCTTAAAGATCAGGGACAATTTATTCATAAATGCTACTGAATACCTTGGCCTATACACTTAGATTACTTCAGGTCTTTTTAAAGGTGTTAGTTTCAGATTTTAAAATAATCTACATGTTGTCCAAAATGAGACTTTGGTGCTTTTGGACTCTTCACCTGGGCTAGTCATGTATTTAAGACTAGCAATGGAAGAAAGTAAGTGTGTGAATTACATATAAATTGTTTTTGATGGAGGAAAAGTACCGTATAATAGACATCATAACACTTGTTACAAGATGCCACAGTCACACCACCATAGATTGGCGAAGACTGCAGCCCAGGAATATATATCACTTTTCTGTCTATCCTTATGTCAACATACAGGGTGATACTGTTTTGCTTCCTTCGTGATCTCGCAGCAATTTTCTCCCTCATTAGGAGAGGATGAGGTTCTGACAGCAGAACAAAAATTTATGTGAGTTAAGACTAAGGGGAAAGTACATAATTTCTTCCTCCTCTCCATCACCTCTTTTCCTCTCTTCCTTCAAATCTCCTATATAGACATGAAGCCTTTCCTGTCACCTAGCTCTGGGAAGCCCATGTCCTGTCCAGCAGAATTGAAATTCTATCCCTAAAATAATGCCCTGTCCTCTGCTAGTGGCAAAAAGCCAGAATATTCTTAGCAGGAAAAGTTTCCTGTGATATCTTTACTTCTTCCTGCAGGATTTCTTGTGGGAATAGATGAATAAGCCAGTAGTTAGGGATTTATTGCTTGTTTCACAATGAATGAATACTTTTGATCATGAAGACTATGGGTTTTCAAGAAACTTGAGTGAAAATATAAAATTTAAAATAATGTTTATCCTGTTGTAACTTTGAGATTAGCAGAAAAAGCAGTCTCTGCACCAGCAAAATCCCCTTCCTGCAAACATAGTGGGGCGGTTTGGATAGGCTGATAGGCAGTTTTGCATTCAGACATGTAATTTTCTGGCTAGACCCAAAATCTGGTGGGCATCCCTCTTCACTCTAAAGGAAGCCAAATAAAAGTAGGTAATTGAAATAAAACTTATTTAAATTGAGTAATCTAAGAATAGGCAGAAAAGGCCAAATGAAGTGAATGTTTATAGTTTTTCCATATGTTCTGTCAGCTCTAAATTTGGTCTTTTGATCGTTTTGCTGTTATGTTTTTCAGTGTTCTGCCTGTAATGCAAAATACTTAAGCCCCACCAATGCCAGTGCTGTTTCAGGATCAAAGGAGTACTTTTGCAGGGTGTAGGTTTTGAACAAGGGTTTCACATTATCATACCTTTACTTGATAATTAACATCACAGTTGTGAGTAAAATAGAGGAATAGAGCCCGTGAAAGTATGCAGTCTGAGAAATGGCTTGACTCTTAGTGTAGTCTGGATATATTTTTAGGTACAGGATATAAATCTGCCGCAAATTTAAATATTTAAATTGATCAATTAAACTGACTACATTACACATATTTTCCTCGTAAGGAGTCTTTTTTTTTTTTTTTCACTTTCAGACAGCTAGATTTCACACTTACAAGTTTTTAATCTTGTTCTTCCAGAGCAATCAACAGCAGCTGAGAATCAGACAGTATTATTAAATCTGATAATTTTAATATAAATGACTGTTCAATAAATGTATTTCAGTGGAAGGAAAGGGCATAGCTGTGCTCACAGATTTCTGCACAGTATTAGAGAAAGAAAACTTTTTTAGGTAGACCTACAAAAATTTGAAATATAACTGTCAGCCCTATTAAAGTCTTTAATTTAGGATCCAATTTCTGTTCACATTCAGCATAATATTAACTATACAGTTACTTTTTGGTTGTGGTAGAAACGTGTTATCATCAGTCATTAGAATGTGGTATAACTTCTTTGAACAATCTATATTCAATGACAATCAAAAGAGTAGGTCTCTAATATGTAGTTAATTACTTTTAAGTTAAAGCACTTCTATTCAGATGGAAAAATTACATGAATTTTCATGTAGGTCTGGCTAAAGCTGTTAATTTTATTAATCAAATGTTTTCAGTTTAATTACTGGGATTAATTATATGTAGCATTTCTGAAGGAATTAGTCTTCAGGCCATAATTTGTTATTTGAAGTATCATAAGACACCAAGTGTCACACATCTAACAAACATCACACTGTTTTTCAAGGGAAAAATTATTTAACACTGATTTTAATATTCGTATTATTGCAAATCAAGGAATTTGATCCTACCCAACTTATAGGCATGTGATCTGATTACATCTGTCATGATGTAAAACGGAGTGGCTAATATTAGAGCTGTAAAGTTCAGTCACTGTTACTCTTTGAGCTCTTCTGGTTTAATGCTTTAAGCAAGTATTTTATACTTTCTTTACACATGTAAATTTTATTTTATTTATGTTTTATTTACATGTAGTAAATATAACTGAGATGGTCTTTTCCAGTTGCCTCATTCAAAATGGAGTTGATTAACATGCAGTTTGGTATATCTGAGTTCTTTAGATCACAAAAATTATCTACCAGCTGAATGTGTTTTAGTTATTACACAGTAAATATACTTAGAACACCCACAGGTAATTAAAAGTCAGTGTGTACTCACGAAGGAGAAAATATTGGCATTCAACACGCAAGTCAATCCATTTTAAGCAACAGTGACAATTATTGTGATTCTTACCAAAACCTCCACGGAGGTTTTATGATACGTATTAGTTCGGGGGGGGGGGGGAAAAAAAAAAAAGTTCATTCCGAGACTTCTGTTTAGTGTTAAATTGATTCTTAAAACTGAAGCCTTTATGTCCTCACCCACCAAACCACTCACACCACAGCCGTTCATGAAATTTTGCTTCAGTTAAAAAGTGGGTGTTGGTTTCTGGGTATAGTAACTTATTTTAAGGAATAGGAGAACCAGTGCAGAGTTCCTCAACACCGAGGGAAGAAAAGATTATTTTCATCTTTATGCTAACTTCCAAGTGCTGTATGTAAATACCAACAACAATATATTCAGGAGCTGTCATTTAAAATTCCATTATATAATTACTAGAAGATTTGTCATTCTTTACTTTAAAATGGGATTACATTTTCTCTCATTACAAAATCCTGTGGCATTTGGTACACAATCTTTGGTACAGAAGTAGTGGTTTTAGATCTAGAGTTCCAGTCTGTCCTTAGAAGCTTGTCAATACAACCAGTTCCTATATGCTCTATCAGAAAAAAACTTAGATTATGAGCTTGTTGTTGAAGATTATCAGCACAATTGTGTAGGACTGGGCAATCATTTTCTTACGGCAATGAGAAAATGGGAAGGAGTGAATGTCAGAGTTTTACATCAGGCAAGTATGTCCATTATGCATTTTTTGCATTTATTTAAAATGGGGCCAGACCCTTTCCTTGTTTCTGTAAAACAGGATTGGATGTAACGCCACTCATTACAGTGAAATTTCACTGCCATGCTACTGCGAGTAATGAGAATCCAGCGCCAGAAGCACTGTAAACCCACAGTTTAGGAGCTCAGAAAGGACATCGCCCTTAGATTGTAAGGGACAGATTTCAGAGCAGGAATACAGGGAGATGTTTTTCATCTTGGCTGCAAATGTAATTACAACCCTAACCATATTACAGAAATCTGCTGTGGCTCTTCAGCAAAGCCATCAAGCCTTTGCTGATTTAAGGTGAAACTTCCTGCCTGTCTTTTCTCTCGCTGTCCCTTCTTCCGTGTCACTTCTTTCTCAGATCATCAGCTACTGTCTCAGCTTTAGCAGACCTCTAGTGAGTTTTCACTGAGCCCTGGTTTTGATTCTAATACACTGATCCTTGCTCTGTGTGCACATAAATCATTCCTCCACCAATCACTAACCACTTCATCTTTCAGCTCTTTTTAAGCTCCCAATCCATCAATTTTGTTGACCCTGCCGCTCTTATTGTCCCTCTTTCTCCAGCTGGCTTCTAGTCTTCTGCAGATTCAGTGGCCACTAACTTTAACTCAAGTTCTCCTAGTA